CTCCCTTATCTAGCATGATTAGCAAGTGGTTTTTAAATATTCATGAAAACTTTTCCATGACAGAAATTCCATCATGTCTAATAATAACTTCTTTTGGGTAAACAGTAAAGTTCAATAGTGTAAAACCAAACAGTCGTTTTTCCCTCTTTGAGTTATGCTTCACATAGAAAGACAAGGATGGATGAAGCCCAGTTTCCAGTACTGTATCTACCTGACAAACCTGCAAACTTTGGACTTCTATTTCATACTAGAGTCGGTCATGGAGTCAGACTTTCACAGCAGTGAAACGAACGATATCTATGCAACAATTTCTAAGCACACTTGCCAGATTTAGAGTCGATTATAAAACCACCTCCTCGATGATTCACCAAACTGCTCTCTGCGCCGGCTGGAAAATCAGTTTCAGCTCACGCAGTAGTTAAGATGTGGCTGAGTGTTGATGCTGCCAAGTCCCAAGTGTGTAAAATAATTGAGGGATTTAAAGGTCACGGTTATTATTTAGACTCAAACGGTTGTGTTTTCAAAGGTGATTTTACATAAATTACAATGAGGGGCTTTAACATTAACACTGCAGGAGAAATCCGACGTCTATTTAACACTTGTTACTGACCTTTTTGTGTTGTCAGAAATACTTCTTGACTTATTTTGATACATCCTAGCATTATTCTGAAATATCTATGAAGTGGGAAAAAAGCCAGGGATCGGTTTCAGTTGTCAGTAATGTGACGTAAATGTTTTTTTAATCATGAATGGGGAATATATTTATTTACATTATTACTGAGGGACACAGTACGCTAATTAAAACCCAGTGCTGGCACAATTATTGTGGAGTTCAATTTATTCATATTCATTACTCCATAATGTGCTGTATATATAATCGGTGAGAGCTGAGCGAGAGATGCAAACAAGCTCCCAGTGAAATGTTTTAATTGGCCTGTTCTATTTCCATTTCAATAAGCTCCTGTCCCCTCCTCCTTTGTCCCCTCCACTTTACTTCTCTCAAGCTGTCCTTTCTAATATTTGACACCCTGACTCTCTCTTTCTCTCTCTCCCCCCTCCAACTTCCCCCTCTGCTCTTGCTGCTTCCCGTTAATGTATCATCATTTTCTAGTAGCAGAGTAAGTGAAGAGATAAAGAGGATCATGAGCGCATGTTGAAACGGGAGTTGGTGCACAACTGGATGCAGTAGGACAAAGCTAACATGGGAAACTGGTGGAGAGCAGAGGATTCAGAAACAAAAGAAGAGATAAATAAAAAACTAGCACAGAGATTTGGAACAGCACGAAAGACAGAGGGAAAGAAAATGTGCTTCCTGATGAACTCCTAAATACGTAATTCGACACTCAATTTGAAGTCTTGATTGTTTAACTTAGGCAACAAGTCATAGTGTCACTCTCAAATATTTAGGATAATAATCACGATTGGGAAATTTAAAAAGAATTTGGAACAAAGATTGACACAAAGGCAGAGAACTATGAAAACATAAAATAGGAGCTTTTGGAAATCATTCCAAACTGACAACAACAAAAAAAACTCAACTTTTTTCTGATCTTTACTCATCTTTACGTCAAAATCTTTCTGAGTAAAAGACTAAGAACTAAGAACCCATCAGCTGTCATATTTAGATCATTTCCTATTTAATATCTCACCATCAGGGCTGTCGATCCAGTCACGTTTTCTGATTAACCACAGGATAGCCTTGGATTATTCATAAATAATTATGATTATGATTGTTTTTTTGGAGACTAGAGTTATTCCAGAACACGAGGAATTGTCAAATGCTGAATATCTATTATTTAATATTTTACAATTCTCTTTTTTTGATATATTTTCTCTTTTTCAGGCATTATTCTGAAAAGCCTTAGGTAAAATTAGTTAAAACTAATTTGAAATAATTGCTAAAATTTGAACTCAAAACACAGCCAAGGGTGGTACTGATTAAATGGGAATCCATTCATGTAGAAGTGCTGAAGTATTGCTGCAATCATTCACCAAATTGAGAAACCTACCAGCTCTAATAGGGAACCCATGCAGCCAAATAAAAAAAATGTTTGCGAAGTTGAACTTTTCACTGTAGGAGTCTAATGCTGGCTGCACTACAAACATCTTTTTCAAGTGAGTCAATTAGGTTCGGAAACATATCAAATTCAACAAGCAACTGCTTAAAAACCTCTGGCCAGAGCAGAAAAATCTCCGTCTGATTGCAGATATTTAGATGCAGATGAGGGGAAAGAGGAGAAAGAGAGAGAAAAAAATAAAATAAAAGTGAAAGTACTTTCCGGTGTCCTCATCCAAAACTCCTCGTCTCACCCGCTCTTGATGGTTTTCATCGTCAATGTTTTTCTAAAGATTTATTTAAAAACACAAAGCTGTCGTTGTACAGTATATATTTGACTTGGTTCTTTGTTGAACAGGCAAAAGGATAAAGAAAAGATTAGTAGTGTTTTTACTGACAAAGGTCATTATCAGAGGACAGAGGCAATGACAGCGGCAGTGAGCTAAATGTGTGTTAAAATAAAGACTTTATTTTCTGCAAATTGCTGGAACAACAGAAAGACAAATTTGTGTTTCACAAGTCTTTGAATTTGTGACTAATCTAAAAAGTTCAAGAAAAATATTGAACAGGGGGTTATTAGAGCATCAACAAAAGAAAGGACGGTGTAATTACTGGATAAACGTTGCTCTTCCTTCTGCCCATGTGTTGATATTTGTAAAAATTATAATCTAATCTAATCTAAGTTTGACAGACCTGGTTTTTACAGTTCCTTCTTCTCTTCCTGTTTTGATGATCTTCCCATTGCTTCATCTCGACTCTGTCTTTCTTTGTCTCCTCTCCTCTCCGTCCTCACATATACATCCGTCCCCACGGCATTCTCCCTATATTTCTTTCGTATTTGATTAGACACCTTTGTGTCGCCTGATTTTTATATTACTGTCCAGTCCTCCTCTCTTGTTGATCTGTTTGCCCTAACTCTGTTCATCACTGTACATGCTGTCACTCTCCATGACTCTCCAGGATCAGTCATGAGGTGTTCCACTCTCTGCTATTCTCATCAATTATCTACACTTGTCACAGCAGTCGGCAGCTCACGACAGCGTCAGCACGTCTCTGGTGTTGTCGAAAGGAAACGACATTTCGCAATCGTCAAGATATTGAATTTATATATGTTACAAATGTGTTCATCTACGGAGATATTAAAGTACTTTCTGACTTGTTTGGAGTTGTAAAAGTAGAAGTAACTTGCACTAATGTACCCTTATCTACTTGTAATAATAAGACAATTTTCAGTGTGTTGAGATGGTCACGATGAAATGAAAGTATCACAGACAGATGTATAATATTAAATGACCTAAATGACTCTTACTAATATATAAAACCAAGCAGGTCAAGTTGACAAATGTGTCTCTTTATCTGTGTTGGTTCATGTCCACAGTTACAGCAGACGACTCACTGACTTCTGACTCACAGAACGCAGCTTTTAAAGGGACTGTGCTTTGTTTTGTTCAGTGGCTTTGTGTGTTATTTATGTCCTATATGTTGCAAATAGCACTGAACAGCAGGCGTACTCAAACATGACTTAACCAGCTGGTAATTTAGTGGACGGTGAAATTTCTATGGAGTCAGCCATGGGGGGGGGGCGTAAGTAGAACTCTCCATGAACAGTGACACCCCCCCCCAGTGTCACTGAACACAGCTGCACCTTATACAGTCATTAGGAGGTATGGTATTTAAGTCAGCAGTGCTGCTGTTCTAAATGAATGTACCCAACATGAATCATAACCTAACGTCAATACTATATTCAACTACTCGATTGGTTAGCAAGCAAATACAACTGCAGTCATAACAACATGTAACTTTGTGTCGTTTTGTGTGGCGTCTCTTAAATCATCCATATCTGTTATCACTTAAATTACAAATGATTTTATACATCCATTTCTGGTCATTTCCCACCATCTAAAAAGCAGCCTAACCTTTTCCATCTGTTTATATTGGTGTGATCAGTGTGTTCACAGATGCTTTTATAAAAAAAAAAAAAAAAGAATAAATTAAATTTCTATAAACTCTTGCGTACTGTGAAGGATGCCGCTTCTGTATAAATGATTAACCAACAAGATGCCGACGCACTGATTAGATGCCTCTGTCTGATGTTTGTATAAAGGTAAAATCTGTATCTGTTCTGTCAGCAGCAGCCTTGATTACTGCAACTTTGATTAGACTGGGTGGAAAAACCACAGAGCATCCAAACACACACTCGTGTGGTACACACTCACGGCTGCAGTGTTCTAATTAAAGTGGTTCTAATGACAGAGCTTCCTGAGTGTGATGTACAGTAGGGCAGACAGGATTCAGAGTCAGTGGGTGAGTGAGTCAGTCAGTCAGTCAGTCAGTCAGTAAGTGTGTAACCAAATACAATAGTGAGTGAGTGAGTCAGTCAGCTGCTGAGTGTATATGTAATTGAATTAATGACTGAGTATATGAGTGAGTTAGTCTGTGACTGTGCCCGTAAGAGTGAGAAAGTTAATGAGTAAGTGTCAGAGCAAGTAAATGAGTTAGTCAGCATGTGAGTGAGTGAGTGAGTGACACATTGTTTAACATTTTCAAGTCTAGTCTGGTCTAAAAGGTGAACCTCCAAAATGGTTAACCATAACATTATAAGGTAATAACACGTATTTATTTTAAAATGTTATGCAAGTGTTCAGTTGTATTTGGGTTAGAGGGAGTTAATCAATGCAGGATA